GGGGGGGGGGGGGGGGGGGGGGGGGGGGTGCCTAAAATTTGCTTCTGAGTACTCATTTTCATCACTTGAGGAACTCCTGTGTAAATTTTTCATACTTTTAGGACAGATTTTTTTCAAGCGTTACGGCCCTTCATGGTGTAGCCCTTAGAGGGAAATTTCTAAAATTGCTTTAGTGTAATTAAGTTACTTAAGCAACGTCTACGCAGAATTTCATATTTCTAAACGTTTTTGACAAATTTTATACTAATTGTTTCATTCCTTATTTCTTAGGGGATTAATGTCCAAAATTCGGTTTCTGAGTCTCACTTTGGGTCGCTTATTAACAATTTCCAAATTTAAAAAAAAAAAAAAAATTTTAAAATTGCAAAATTTTTTTTTATTTTTATTTAGTTTAAGTTGAAATTTCTAAAATGTTTGTAATATTCGGAACTGTTAGTTACGCTAACTTTAAGGCACGCTTGATGCAAAATTTGTAGTCTAGGAATGCTTTTTTTGTTACAAGTACCCCATATCACCTTAAGAGCGAATTCCAAAAATTGCCCTTAGTGTTAACTTACGTAGTCAAGGAGCACTCGTGGAAAATTTCATACTCTTAACCAGATTTCAAATTTTTATGCAGCTTTTTCATCCGCTAATTTCACCCCTTAGTGGTCGATTTTCAAAAAAATCCTTTTTTTTTTTTTTTTTTTTTTTTTTTTTTTTTTTTTACAAATTTTATTTTATTACTATATATGATAACTTTACCTTATTTTCACTAATGAATATTAGAGACAAATAATAAAAATAAAATCTAAATTATAAATTTCATGGCTATAAATAGCATATTATTCATTAGAAATTCTATGACTTTCAACATCACTGCGACTAGGTATTTTATATCCAATTGTATAGTATTAAAGTCCGAATATACATTTTCCCTGGGTTTGTCCGGGAATTTGCTTATAAATAATGAACAACGGCTACGTCGCTTCACATCGCGTGGCCGTGGTGTGGCTCCAGATTCGTTCGTTTTAAAAATATTATTAGATTTTGGCTATAGGAAGTCCGTCTGTGTTTAATAGGGAACTTCTCAACCCCCCCCCTCGAAAAATGCCTGTTTTCGTAAGCATGGCCATTCTTGGATTATGTGTTTATCTGTGGCGGTAGTTAGATTGGATCGCGGTTCACGTGCGTTTTTTTAAACGTGCGAGCTTTGACGGAATTTACTCGCATGACTTATTTTATTTTAGTGTTTGCATTAGATGCGCGTTCATGGCATCCTGTGTGTCGAGTTTGTCAAAACGGACGTCACTACTTTGATGCTGGTCTGAATTTAATGTTAATAACTACTTATGATAAAGAACAATGTTAGGTAATGTTTATTTGCAGTAAAAGGGGAAAATGATATGTAATTTTTGAATTAAAACGCTAACCGGTCAAATTTTTTTGAATATTTTAGGAATATTTCAGCAACATTATAATATTAAAATAAATTTTTTTTTTTTTTTTTCAAAAAATATTCAATTTTTTCCGGAATGTATTGGGCCCAAAGATATAAAAATTCGAACGCTCGACGTGCAAGTATTAAAAAAACAAACCAGTTTGTTTTCATCCGATCAACGGAAATCGACGTATGTGCACGGACGCGCAAACTCCGAGGCAATGTAACCGCCTGCGTAGATACTATTTGTTTTTTTTTAATTGTTTATTAAATTGTAGTTTTTGCTGGATAGCCAATAGATAGAGACGATAACATAAGGAGTGTCAATTCGTGACAAGGCTGATTTGGTTTCATAAGTTTACGCTGTCAGTTCTGCAGCCCGCATGAAACAACATTTTAGAGAAAATTATCGGCTGCGAAGGCATTAGAAGACGGTATTGAACTGAAAGCGAAGTGTTGCTAAAAATAAAATTCTTTATAGGTTCTGAATATTTCGTATGATGAAAAAGTCGTTTAATTGGCTTTGAAATGACGTACTTATTTGACATTTACCATAATAATTTTACATATGAAATAAAGCGATCTTCATTTCAAGCCAACTCTGATACGTTCTTTGTGTAATTTTAATTTATATTAATTTGTTTAATTTTTTTTTTTTTTTTGTATTATTTTTTTTTTTGGGTCATATAGGACGAGGGGGGTTGGTCGGCTAGAGAGAAGGGGGTCTTTAAAGGCAGGGATGGCGATCCTGTAACAAGGAGGCAAGCAGCGAGTGTGGATGAGGGTGTGGCAACCCGTCCGAGACGGACCGGGTGCCTGAGTGTTCAGGTGGGCCGTAGTGGTCGGTAGGCTGGGAGTGCGACGTAGCGACGGCGTTCTCGATGGTTGGCGAGATATTATTGAGTATCTTAGAGGTTCGTGCTATTTTTTAGGCTAGTGGGTCAATTACCCCGGGTAGGCGCATGGGGTTGGGGACCGCCAGCATGGACAGCCCCCAAAATTCCGTTAAATTTTACAAAGATTTAATTCGAGGTTCAGCTCTGGCAACAACTGGGTCTTCCGGCAATGACTAAAAGATTCAAGGGGACAAATAACACGAGAAGCACATTTGTGAGCCGCTGTACAACGTGCGTGGCACATTTTTTCTTAACCTAGCTGTTTTTTTGAAGCAATATTTAATAATTTTTTGAATAATTCTTTTGAACTACGCCTATGGTGTATCATCTAATTAATTACGAAAAAAAACTATTTGTTAACAAAGGTCAAAACTAGTATCGACGTATGCATATAAGTACATATGATGTTATTGAAATTGAGATAATTATCGAACTTCAATAGAAAAAATCACTAAAAAGTTGGGAGATTAGGACTGTTTATTTACCTATGAACGTAACTCCTGGTTTCTTTCTTATCGCTGCCGCTTTTACACTTGAAAGCTGAACAACAAATCACCATTGTAATAAGTTTTATACAAGTTGTCAATCTACCACACAATATAAAGAAATCGCTAAAATTGTCGCTGTGACCTAATGAGGACTCATTTTTTGTTTCACCAAAACAAAAAAAGGTACAAATTCTGCTGCAGGCCGTTAGGGGCGTTTACATGTTTAATATTTTTTTAATAATAAAATATATACCAATACATATCAATCTATACGGATATCCTATCCTGCAATGTGTTGGGTTGAAGCCGAGAGACAACTAGATAACCGGGCCATGTATATTTCACATAATTTCGTCTGTTAGAAAAACGCTGGCGCAATAGCGCAACTCTAAAATTCCGAATATCGATTAGTTTTAGCTTGGCCTTGTGGAACGCGTGGTCGAACGAGAGCGCAAACACGATCCTCATTTCTGTGCCTCATTTCTTATTCAACTGTTTTTGTGTTCGCATCGCGAACGAAAGCCGTATGGAAGCTGTTACGAATGAACAGTATTATGCTCTGGAATTGTTTAGTATGATGATAATTTGAATATCACACGCTTGCGCACAACGCTTGTGCTTCACTAACTGAGCGAAGATTTATATACCCATTTCACCGGCTCGGCTTCACAGAATGCAGTTTGGAGTCAATATACGTTAGTTAATATATATATGCCGGCAACCATCCACTCTGTCGACTGAAAGCAGAACTGCGGTACAGTATTCTTTATTCGCTGCGTTGTAAACGACTATCAGCGCGCAGCGGCGCAGAGATAAACTAAATCTCGAAACAGGTTGACTAGAGGCGGGCTATGTCGCGGACAGTTTTGTGCCACGAAATCCGCCCATAAAGGTTGCGCAATTTCATATTTCTTCTATCAACGGTATTATGTAATATCAATATCGCATTTTTCTCTCTCCGACTTACAAGATCTTTATAGCGATTCATTCTTAGATGTGTAAATACCGACCCAGATCCTCTTATCAAGTCTATACAAGGTGAGTTTTTATAAAATAAGTCGAATTAGACATTTTAGGAATGACGAATTTTCAATTCTCAACAACTCCGAATCTAATTAAAATGTAACGGTCAAGATCAAAATGGACCTATTTGCTGAAATAAAAATACTAGCTTTAAAACATTTTTAATACAGTGAGCTTAAAATATGCATACCTATAATGATTGCATTATTGATATCAATTTCTTTTCTAGAATAATCAAAAAATAATATAAATATCAAAATAAAAGAAAGTTCCATTTTTTTACTATAAAGTTGGATTGACATGTGAACAACAGCTTCGGGGTTATTTGAAAAAAACGGACAATTAATAAAACGGCAACTGCAATATTACAATTATACATACAAGTGCAAAAAACAGTATTCTTACTAAAACTACGCAATAGGTCATTGAAAATAAACATACATTTATATCAACTTATATTAAATTTAGGTTTATAATGGACTTAAGATTTGATATACATAAAGGTCAAATACTGTCAAGAACAAAAAGCAACACTGACTTGGGTTTACATTCAATTTGGGAAAAAAGTCACGTACAATATAATTTTAGTCAACCGTGTAGTTTTACACTAAAATTACAATTTTATTATAGGAAAATTAAGTTAATCATCGCAAGAGCACCACAATTCAAAAAGGGAAATGAAAGTTTGTAATGTTTTTTTTATTGTGGGATATCAGTTTTATAATTACAAACTAAATAATTTCAATTTTCTAAAATTCATAGTTTAGAAAATTATTTAACCACACTGCATTAATACATTTTTAAAATATTCTTTTTTGCGTGCTGTTTTTTATAGTAACGATTTCTTTACTTATTGTCCAACAATTTTAAAAACAAATATATTTAAAAATTCCCATGTGTTGCGTACCTTCTAGTAAGGCATACCTATATAAAAAAATATTCAGGAGTTTGATGAGTCTTCTAAAAGTTTACGAATTTTCCAAAAAGAATAGGAATAACAAAAACAGTCCTGTTTCTAAGAATACTCCATTTCTTCAACTTCGGCTTCTTCGGGCACTGCGGTATACATTCTCCTTAATTTTTCATAATGTTTTTGATCCTGCAAAAATATTACATTTTCATTAATTACTGGATCCACATATTAATAAGATTACACATGAACTACAGTTTAAACGATAAATTTATTCATAATACAGAAAACTTAAGAATGTTGTTTCTTTACCACAGTGTGTCCAGCAATCGGATATACCCTGTTGGTCATCGAAACTATGTGGTCTGGATTTTAATGCGTGTGACAGAGAATAATATAAATGACCAGTTGACAGACAGAGAGACAAAATAAAAAGCGGCATACAGTATTGCCGGTTTTTTACGTTTGTAAGAAAATGTGTGTAGAAAAATACAAGCTATTTTAAAAATTTTCAGGTATACTAGTAGAAGTTATACATTCTTAGTATGTCATCCACTAGGAGTTGGAGGAGTGGAATTTAGTAATTCCAATTCCAATTCCTTTTGAGGGTGGTCCAAGCTCTTGAGCGAGAAAGATAGGAAAAAACTAAAAACGAAATCGGAAAAATTCGGTTTTCGTAAATATCTTCGGAAATGTATTTTTTGTTTCGATGTCGTTGCTTGTGTTTCGTGTTTTTAAAAATTAAGTGGAGGAAAACTCGAGGGAAAATTAAGTGTTGACCCAGACCATAGTTTACAGTTAATATTCGATGCACAGAGACCGCCAGAGACACAGTTTGCCAGAGACACAGTTTGCCAGAGACTAAGGCCAGAAAGTTGTATTAGCCACAAATAAAGAAGTATACCATCTCGTATATGGTACCAAAAACTGCAGTATCTGTAAAATAACATCACACGATAGGTAAATAATACATTTTAGTACTGCAGAAAAAAATTAAGATTAAAGTTAATTAACCAAGATTAGATTTTTTCAGTTTTATAGTTTTTTTTCACAATATTTTGAAGTAATCACTTGTCACTCAAAATTTAAATATATTAATTATGCGTTCCAATTGTACCAACTTATTTCTTTGTAAAATAAAATAAACTACTTTGAAATTAAAATGACAGACACATCTATCACTGTCAAGTATTTTGTCGTTGGACAGATAATATTATAGATTCGGGACAACACCGGTATCAGGTCTAAAGAGAGACCAAATTAAAGGGGTGGAGAAAATAGAGACAGATCCTCCAGCCTCCACCTCAGCCGGAGACATGCTCCTCGACTGTAAAAGACATGATGAAGGGCCAAACCCCAACCGTGGAAAGGTGTATACTGTATACAGAGGCTGACTGGAAATACCCTGTCCTCCCTACAACAGAAAAATCCCTATGTATGATGAGTCTATAGACTGTATGTTGAGTTATAACTCAAGAAAGTGGTTTAAGGTCGCGGTGATTAACCCCCCTCTCACTTAATCTACATGGTGTAACATTTCTCTACTTCTCATTCATATTTGTATCTCTACTTGTTTATGAGTATTATTATCCCTGTAGTGTGCGTTCTGATATGGAAGCCGTCGAAGAAAGGAAGCAACTCATGACAACAGCAAAATCTGAACCCAAAAGTTATCATATACGGTAAAATTCACATTCACAGGATGAATAAATATATATGTATTCACACTGAATACATATATTAATACATATATTATACTAAATGAGTCACTGAGAAACATGCGCTGGAACAATAAACGTATTTTTTTTTAACGGGAATATTACCAAAAGGGTTCCTAAACACAAATCTACAGGGTCCGACAATAGTGCGTCGGGCATCTGTAGCTACTAGAATAAAAAAACTTGGGAATCTTGTTTAAGTGCATATCTATAGTTAAAACTGTATTTCAGGTAAATATGTTATCATCTACTTGATGGCTCAAAAAAGTATGAGCGGATTAGGATGATTTTTTTAAACGGCCTGCATATTGCATTTTTAGCTTCCTTTCAGATCACTTATACATAATTTTAAGATATGAGTAAATATATTTTGATAGTCTCAGAGATATTAATAAATACATAAAAAATGTATTTTTAGCCTTTCTTAAAAACTAACAATAACTTAAAATTACAAATACAACCTTTCCTGAAATCAAAACTATATTAGATATTTACTTTATATGGTCTATATTTACTTTGCTATACATATTGTAATCCTAAATAATACAGGGTGTTCGCAATTCTACGTCAAACTTTCGAAAAAGAAAATATTTTTTTCTATTTATTAGATATTTACTTATGGTCTATACCAGGTCTATACTTACTTTGCTATACATATTGTAATCCTAAATAATACAGGGTGTTCACAATTCTACGTCAAACTTTCGAAAATCTAAAATAATTTTTTCTTCGTTTTTTTTTAATTTGAACACCCTGTATATACTTTTTTTTATTAGACGGGGAGTTAAAAAAGAACGTTTTTTGTAATTAGAATATTTCAAATTTTTTAACGGTTTCTAAGATACTCGCTCTTTCGCAGATTCGCTCTTTCAGCGGTAAAATACGAGAGAAAAATCATTGGGTGGCCGTGATAAAAAATTACTGTGGAAAATGTCATATGAATACAAAATCGCCAATTTCCAAGTTATTTATTCTAGAAGCTACAAATACCCGACGCATTATGACCCTGTATTTTGACATTATAGTTACCAAATAGAGTTGTCTAAACTGTAGTTATGTTGTGTGGTAGATAAATAATTCTCCGAAATTTAACTTAACCTACCTTTTCAGGCACTGAAGGCCTTATTTTTTCGGCTGCTCTGATGAAGTGCCTGCTGGACACTTTTAAGTTCGCTTCCCCGCCTAGCATGAACTCCTTCAGTGCTAGGACAGACGCTTCTCTTACCAGAGCGGCTAAATCTGCTCCAGTATAACCCTTGGTCTGTTCCGACGTGCCTATACTCACGATATCAACGTCTTCATCTAACTTTGGTTGCGTACCATTCTGAAAACAAGTGGTTAAAGTGATACAAATAGTATAGTGTATACTTGTGTCTAAACAAGTGAAAGTATAAAGTAAGGCTAATTTTTAAATACAATATTATGAGTCATCAAAGTTTTTACTTTGACTGCCTTCAATTTATAAGATATTTAATTCAATAAGTTTCACCAAATATATTTAAAGAATATATGGATAATATCCCATTTAGACAATGAGTGGAACGTGAAGCCAAACATATGAAATGGGAATATCAATCTTGCATAAGTCTATCCTTTTCGTTCAACGCGATTTTTTATGCGCACGCCCCAAATAAAACGATCTGATTCGTCTACTTCATCGCTGAACGCTGTCACCGGCTGTGACCTGACCGCCGCACTGTTTTAAACTCTAATATATAATTTTTTTTTCGTAATGGCATTACTTCAACCTGTTATTTTAGATATTCTTGAAATATAGATATATCTATCCGTTTATTGTTTTTGTTTAAATATTCCAGAGATTAAATTTAAATCTATAAGTAAAGGCGCGAACAGTAAGACGCTAACTTCATTTACATAGTAGATAGAAACTCTGAAAACTACTTGTATTAGTTAGTATGAAAATAAATGAACTAATCGTAAAGCACTTTTCACGAGTAGTTCAAAGCCGTTGAACCAAAAGGACCGACTTATGCAGATTTTGTATAGCTCCATCTCAAAAATTTGGCTTTAATTTCTGTGCCTGACTAGCCATATAGTCTTTGAATATATGGTAATCGCAAAATAATTTCCGATGCACGTGATCAACTTTGAGTGACAAGCGATGGCGACAGCGCTGCCAGATTGTGATGAATTTATGAGATGAATCTTAATTTAAAAGTAACAAACAATATATTTATTATATCATTTTTTAAAGATTTTTACATTTTATTTTTAGTTTTATAACTAATATTTCAGTAATTAATTGATTTATTTGTTTTATAACTTATTTTACTTATTAGATATTGGCAAACACTAGTCCATTATGAAGATTATTCTAAGCGGTTATTTATTTATTTATTGATGTACATCTTACAACGCCATAAGTGGTAACACAGACTAACCTAAACAGATGCGACAAACAATGCAAATGTGAAAATTACATTTTGGCGAATGCGCCAGGCAAATTTTTCCGTTAGATTTGTCATATAGGCGAATTTTACAGCGGACCAGCAAAGTAACCTCCATTCGTTTACTAAGAAGCCACGCCTCCTTCGTGTAGAAAATAGAGAGGGAATTTTGTAGTTCGGAATCAAATAGAGATGATTTTAATTTCATTAGTTTTTTTCAATTTTTGATACATTCACAATCTATACCTACTAATATATAAAATTCTTAAGTGACTGACTCACTGATTAATCACGATCCTGCTCAAACCACTCAACGTAAGAAGCTCAATTTTGGCATACAGGTTGATTCTGTGGGTGTAGAGGTTCGAAAAGAAGAAATTTTCGAAATTCCAGTTCAAGGGGGTGAAACCATCCCTCAAATATTACAATATTTTTTATTTAAAAAACGGTCAAGTTTCCGAAAAAACGCTTAAACACGTATATGTTATTGTTTGTTTTTTTACATAATTTAAGATTTTTAAAAATGTATACAGGATGTTTCGAAAAATCTGGTCATTGATTAATCACGATCCTGCTTAAAGCGCTTGACGTAAAAAGCTGATTTTTGGAAAACGGATTGACTTTTAGGGTGTAGAGGTTCGATAAGAAGGGATTTTTCGAAACTCGAATTTAAGGGGGTGAAACCACCCCTCAAATATTAGAATATTTTTTATTTAAAAACCGATGAGTTTTTCGGAAAAGCTCTTAAAAAACGTATATTTTATTTTGTTGTTTTACATATTTTAAGATTTTTTAAAAATTTATACAGGGTGTTTCCATAAAATATGACCATTGAGTAATCACGATTCTGCTTAAACTGCTTGACGTTTAAAGCTGATGATTTTGGCAAACGGATTAACTGTGGGTGTAGAGATTCCATAAGGAGGGGTTTCTCGATTCCAAGAGGGTGAAAATGCCCCTCAAATATTACAATATTTGTTATTTAAAAAAACGGTTAGTCTTTCGGGAAAACAGCTTGGACACGCATATTTATTTTGTTTTTTTACATATTTTGAATTTTTTTAAAAAATCATACTGGGTGTTCCAAAAAGTTGGGTAATTGATTAACTACGATTCTGCTTAACTGCTTGACGTAAAAAAAATTATTTTTGACAAACAGATTTTTCGAAAGTCAAATTCCAACGAGATGAAACTACCCGTCAAATATTACCAAGTTATATAATAATATCGCCATATTGTTTTTTCTCAGGCTCAGGACATAAATGTGAGAACATTTTATCCAGTTTGTATGTTAATGGAAATTTTTGAAAATTCCTCATCTCGGGGATGATATAGGGGTGAAAGTTGGTATGAAAATTTATTACTACCTGGCATAGAAGTATAATATTTTTACAAAGTTTATGTAGTTAATAAGTCGATTATTTGATCGAACTGTATGTCTATTCGCTTTTTTCGTATTAGAAAATCTAGGTATTTTCGGAAAAAAACACCCACAGTTTTTGATATAATTTAGTCCTAGAAAATCTAAAAAATGTATCTTCTTCAGTTTTTAGTGTTTTCTCATCCATTGAATGCACATTTTTTTAAAAGCATTTTAAATAAAATCAAAACAAGAAACTTAAACTGAATAGCTGAATTAACTAAAACAATACTAAGAACACCGTGAACTAACTAAATGTAAACCAACAAAACCCAACAGAAAATTAAAATCGGAAACAGCTAATAATAATGATGTATGTAATATCCATGTGAAACAACTGAAGAAACTGACTTAAAAATCCTCTGAAAACCTTCAATATTCCCATCTTAGATTCCCATATCCTTTTTCTAGGACACTGTTGCCAATTCTACTTACCAATTTGTATAAACTATATCGGTATCACGGCACATGCAAACAATATGCCGTGTCTGTATCATAAAAGTACCTATTTGCTATATAAAAGATCAGCTGCTAAATTTTAAATCAATTTAAAATATCAAATAAAATTATAGTAGTGCATAAAACTATTAACAAGCAGGATATAAAAATAATTAAAGATAATTTAAGCTGGCTAATAGTAGATAGACTTTAGATTAATATTTGAAATTAACAGCTGGAAGTACAGCTAAATACAAACGGCAAGCTGACAACAAAGATCCTATTCTTTAAGAATTGTATATTTCTGATATTTTATATAATTTTTAATTTTAAAGAAATCGTCATTTTCTTTATACATATGTATTGATCTTAACCGATTGTTAAAATTTGTAAATTTCTCATACTTTACAAATAAATATTAGCTGATATTTCCTAACATCATGTAATAGTTATTTATTATTATCCAGGAGAAAGCGCTAATACAAGTACATATAACATTTAATTCTCACATAAAAAAAGTTCAAGCTGGCAATCTCGCTTTGACTTTATAATCGTGCGGCGGCTGCGACGGCAAGACGAGACGGCGCGGTGTATCAAAGGCAAGGTTAAATGCGAGAAGAACGAAAGAAATGGAAGCTTAGAGAAGGGAAAGATTTTACATTTTATTTTTAGTTTTATAACTAATATTTTAGTAATTAATTGATTTATTTGTTTTATAACTTATTTTACTTATTAGATATTGGCAAACACTAGTCCATTATGAAGATTATTCTAAGCGGTTATTTATTTATGTATTGATGTACATCTTACAACGCCATAAGTGGTAATATCAAGTAAGAGGGTGCTATTAATGCGAAAACTCATAATCACAGAATTTAATAAAAACTAACGTAGAAATAACTTTGAAAGTGGTGTAATGTGCTTATCAATCAAACTTACTTCTCTGACTGCAATCAAGGGTAGTAAAGGACCTCTATTGTCACGTTCTCATTTAAAATAGTTTATCATGGAAGCTACCAGCTCTTTGCTTCGACTGTTTAAACGCTTCGGCATATTTTCAACACACAATTTCAAGAAATGCAATACAAAAAATCGAAAATTTAGTTCTTCAAAGAACTGTTTGTGCTTAAAAGTACAATTTTTAAAAAAGACTATGAAAATAGGCAAAAAAAACGAGAATTACTCGCAAAGATCCAACAACAAGATATTATACAAATTAATGACAGATATTAGGATAATTGTCAAATAATAAAGGACAGTCTTGCTGAAAACGGCGCAATGTGACCAATATAGCGATAATAAAATTCGGTTTAAACAAATTTTTGCAGCTTTAATCTAAATAAAATATCTGTTACAATCATTTGCTCTATTAAGTCAAATAAAAAGCTACTCGGTATCATAAATTATACAACAAATTTAAACATTTTTGCCAAAATTTAATTTAGTCAGGTTTATAGACTTTAGTGTCAATGTCGATAGGATTGATGACGTGCATCGAAAAATGTTTTGCGATTACAATATTTGAGTTTCACCTACATAAACTAATATTATTGGTTTAAAAAGAGTTTTGTTACCTTTGTGATTGCTCGCAGTATGTCCACTCTGTCTTCGCGCGAAGGGAGCCCAACATAAAGGATTTTATCCAACCGCCCTGGACGAAGTACAGCAGGATCGACAATGTCCGGCCTATTGCTCGCGGCCAATAAAAATACGCCTTTGCGCCCTTCTATACCGTCCATTTCGGTTAACATTTGATTGACCACGCGCATCGTAGCGCCACCCTAAAGTTTCCAATAAAAGATCGTTATGTTTAATATAAATTTGTAGGTTTAATTTACAGGGTGGTCCGAACTGTATTCCGGAAATTTCGGCAGCATATTCTGCAGATAAAAATAAGTAAAAAAGTTATCAAAAAAATTATGTCCTAAAATGGCTTATTTTCGGAGATATAGGGTGTAGAAGTTTCATTTCAGTAGGAGTCATATTGACATCAAAATCAAATTTCTCATGTCAAAAAACTCCCAGACACCAATTTTCATTTAAATATTGACGTTACTTCAGAAATTATTCAAATCGAAAAAATCGAAATAAAATTGAAACTTCTACAACCTGTATCTCCGAAACTAAGTATTTTAGGACATAATTTATAGGAACTTTTTTACTTATTTTTATCTGCAGAATATGCTGCTGAAGTTTCCGGAAAACAGTTCGGACCAACCTGTTTATTAATTTAGAAACTAATACCACACGAGTTCAAACAAAATTGCTAAATACATAAATTTATTAGAAACAAAATAAAAACGTTACCTCTCTGGAGTCTGACCTTTTGGGGCAGAGAGCATCCAATTCGTCGAAGAAAATGACGCATGGTGCGGAGTTTCTTGCTCGTTCAAAGCACACCCTCACTGCCTTTTCACTTTCACCTACATACTAGATTGGAAAAAAAAATAGATAAAATTTAATACTCTAAATCTAACATTAACAAACAACTAAAAAAATGTAAATTTAAAAAATATATTAAAAATATATACAGGCATTAATTGAAATTTTTTTAGTGCGAACAAACACGAGAGGCGCTTTATTATTTACTTTCATTTCTTAACATGACAGACGAAGTTCTAAAGGGGGATGTTTTGTGATTTATATTTAAATCGTTCTTTTCAGAACCGTCACTCAACTAATTATCTATCAGCATAGAAACATTATATCTTACCATATTAAGCAGTTCAGGTCCCTTGACGGAAATAAAATTGATACCGGCCTCGTTGGCTATCGCTTTAGCTAACAGAGTTTTACCACATCCTGGAGGACCGCAGAGAAGAACACCCGTTGGCACGTGTAAACCTAGTTCTTCAAATCGGTCAGAATATCTGACTGGAGCCTATTTAAAAAAAATAACAAAATGACACTCATGTATTTCTAGCAAAGATTTAAAAATAAATTAAAAGGATAACGTCAGGATCCTTAATTCAAAATGGCAAAAATCACTTAGTGAATAGCAAAATAAAACACTAGTTGACCATAATACACCAAAACACTTTATTTTTGCTCTGGGCGCACGTTTCGCTAACCATGTTAGCATCATCAGCAGAACCAGGCGGGCTAGACGATCCTCTGAGAGTAGGTCTTAGCGGAGCAGAAGCACGGAGATACCTCCGACTGCTCCACGAAGGACTTGCTCCAGAGGAAGCAAAAGAGAAAACACTTCTCCGAAAAGGGAAGAGGAAAGAAATCAAGAAACAACCTGACTCATCTCCATCAAAGGGCAAGAGAGGGAGCGAGAACCACTCGCCTCTTCTCCGGCAGGGAGAGAAAAAAGCCAGGATGGAAAGCCGTTCAACACCGGGAGGCAAGCAGGGACGTATCACCAGCTTTGCCGCTATTGCTGAACAAGTGAAAATGGCGGTGCTGCCAAAGGATTTTCCAGAGGTTGCTCTGACCACCGACCAGCAAACGTCTCTAGAAGAGGCTATACTGGATGAAGTAGTGGCGATCAGATCGCAACACAACGACCTACAAAATGTGGGTCAGCTGCGTTTTGCGGGGATACACTTTCGGGTATGCATGATCCTCAGATTGTGTATCTCAAGAATCGGCGAATTGGTTGGTGCAAATCGCATCTAAGCTTAAAAATTGGCAAGGGCCGGAACTGGTTGCAGTGAAGGGAGAAAACATCCCTAAAGGGGCGACCATAAAGGTCTTTCTGCAGAGGAGCAAGGGGAAAGACACCACCTACCTGCTGAGCCTTATCCAAGGTCAGAACTTCGAGTCATCAACTCGAAGGAGGAGGGTCATGGTCAGGTCCTCACAATAGGAATCGACCTCAAATCCAAGGAGGCAATAGAGAAAGGGGGGCATATCCTCTATTATAGATACGGGACAACACTGGTATCAAGTCTAAGGAGAGACCAAGTTAAAGAGGTGGAGAAAATGGAGACAGATCCTCCAGCCTCCACCTCACGGGTTCCTCAGCCGAAAGTCAAGCTCCTCGACTGTGAAGGGCGGCACGGAGGCCAAACTCCAACCGTGGAAAGGTGTGTACCCTCGGAGGAAGAACTGTTGTCAGAGGAGGATGGGGAATACCCTGTCCCCTCTACAACAGGGGTATGATGGGTTATAGATTGTGTGATGACTCAAGTAAGGAGGGCACAATAGATCTTTAAGGTCGCAGTGATTAACCCCCCTCTTATTCATTCTACATTCTACATCATCAGCAGATGATTAAAACTTATTTTGACACTCGAGTTTTAATCATCTGCTGATGAGTGTCAAACTCGAGTCGCACGTCCAGTGCAAAAATAAAGTATTTTGGTGTATTGTGGTACATTAGTGTTTTATCTTGCTGTTGAAACACCAAAAGTTCCAACCATCAACTATAATCAGTTAGTAAATATATGATGATACATATAAAAATAAAGGACAACTGTAACTAATGTCTTATACTCTTCTGTCAAACAGACTATACTTACTAAAATTGCCATTTGCAATTCCTCTCTGATGTCTTTGAGAGATCCTATATCATCCCACGTAGTATCCGGTACTGTAGCGAAACCTTCCCTCTTTGCTGATGGTTGCACTGTCTTCAAAGCCTAAAAATGAAACATTTATAATAAAATAAAGTTTCAAAAAAGAAAATAAATATAATTAATAAATCTCTAAATAAGAGAGCTCTTAATTATCAAATGTTTAAGTTTATCAGAAAAATTAATTTTGAAAGTATTATTATAATTCAATTATGTTCTAATACCTTTCCAAAATCTTCCATGGTTATACAAAGATTTCTGAGCTGATCATCGCTGATAGGTATTCTGTCATGTAACCAGAGTTTAAGCTCTTCCAAATCAGTTAATGGCTTGACCTCATCAACTGGCATTGGTTCTTGTGGAGGTAGAGATTCTGTAGGGATGAAATATAACGAGTATTTATTCATTTATCCGTGAAATATGTTTTTTGAGATAATACATTCATTTCATTTTATTGACTTAAGTATTAGTGCATCAGAAAATGAATTTTAATTTAAAAACAGTTCAGTAAATCAAAGTATTGAATAGTATAACCGAGAATATAACCCAGGTGACATCATTTATATGTATAGTGTGTCCAACGAGTCAGGAAATATTTCGACAGAAGACATCCAAAAAATGACAGAAAACATAATTTGCCTGTGAATTAAAATGAAAAATGACAGATACAATAGTCACTGCCAGGGATTCACTCGGACAGACATATTATTTTAATTTCTAACTGGTGGCTATTAAAATTAAAGTATGTTTTAGTAATATGCCCCGTCACGCTAGTAAATAATTTAAATCCACTTCATAACATAAAATCATAAGTTTGCAAGGCTACTTAATGACACAAAATTGAATGTCAACGTTCCAAATATGTCTCTTTTCATTAAACTAAGAATTCAATTATTACTTATATTACATTATCTATTACACAACTAAAAAAGAGAAATTTACCTTCTTCAACTATAATTTCCGGTTCTACCTCTGAAGGTGGAGGTGCGCCGTTAAGGTTCGTTTCTATCGAAGCGCCCACTGAAGCAGCAGCTGGTGGTTCGGATTTTGATTGAGACTAAAAAAAGGTTAGGTTAACCAGTCAGGTTAAACAGTCTATATATAAATATATAAAATAATATAATTTACCTCTTCGTTATCGTCTAAAACTACTACGGCGTCGGTAGAGGTATCGGCTTCTTTGTCTTTAGTGTTTTCAGCTGCTTTAGGACTATCCACTACTATTTCTTGTTGGTCGGCTTCCTTTGCAGCTTCCTTTAACATATAATTTGTATTTACAAAATTAGAAAAGGACTTATTATATAGCTATAGAGGACAGTCAATAGTTAAGTGACCTATTTAGTAGAGTGTAATTTTTAACTTTAGAGATAACTTTCGAAAGTACCATATACAGTATGTCCCCGGATTGTCTTTACAAGAGGATAAACGACTTTTTGTGCCTCGCCACAAAAAGTATAACTTTTACTCCTAATAAAACAATATACTATTAATCGAAAAAGCGTATTTTAATACTATTTATACATTTTTATATTTTACTTTAAATATTTCATAAAGGCTAGAAACAGAAATAGTGTAAAAATTAAGTGACAAAAATGTTAGTTTACGCCTACTGTAATGTAACATCATTTTTATTTAATCACACAGTACATTGTACAATAGATCGTTATTATGTTCATATACAGGGTGAGTTTCCTACGATGTTCTCTATGGGTATCTCGGAAACTACTGGAGATAGAGAGTCGGTTAAATGGGGAAAGAATTGCAGTTTTGTGGGATCATAAATATGCGCCTTTCAGATTTTTGAAATATTTCATGGCTTACTAGATATTTAAAAAAAAACAAATTTTGGCTGTTTTAAAAATTGTCCCTAATTCCATTATAATCTATTTTAGACAAAAAGTTTTCAGATAATTATTATAATATCAGATAATTATTATAATTAATTTCAGTTAAAAAGATCCCTAATGAGTTTGGGTTCTCCGATTTTTCCGAAGTGATCCGAAGTCTGTCATTTTTGACATATGACACAAACATATGTTTTTTTTAAATGTAAACCATAGTTGGCGATGACTTCATAAAAAACGCCATTTTTTAAGCTTTTCGGCGATATAAGCTATATGTTTTTTTTTCGAAAAATTACTGAGTTATAGCCAATTCTTATCTTTCTTGGCTAATTCCACTTAGCTGGCATGGTAATCTTATTCTGTTATGATAAACTTATAAAAAGACAGAATATATTATTAAATGGTTCTTTCCAATTTACATTACACAAACTGAAACTTACAAAAATAATATCACTATCACTACAGACACTTTAAGTTATTTTGGAAAATGTTGAAAAATCCGCCATTGTTTTGAGTACATAAATGCATGTTTTTAAAACTGAATCACTATATAGCTATTCTCACAGAACGACCGGTCGACTTGATTAAACTTCTCCCGTGCCGCCTCTTCGAGTGCCTCTCTTAATTCATAAGTTCTTTTGTAAACCTTGTACATAAATAAACGCATACAAAAATCTAAAATTGATAAGTCAGGTGATCGAGGAGGCCCATGCAACTGGTCCAGTAATTGGTCCGGTAAACTGGTCCAGTAATAATAATACATCTTCCTATTCCTGTTCCTATCAAAAAAATAGAACCTACCTCTTCTCGTTTTTTCTTTTCTGCCTCCTCTGCCTTCTTCTGTTTGGCTAATTCCTTTGCCTTTTGTTGTTCTTCCGTTGCCTTCTGCAAAGCTACCACTTGCTCTATTCTACGACGCTCCTTAATATCATTAAATACTCTATAAACAAAAAAAGTTATTCTATCAGTAGTTCCAGGGATATTCTAATAAGCCGCTAAAAGGAATAACAATGCAAGTTGTTTTATATCTTAATTTAGAAGAAGATTGTCGTAGTCATTCATATATTTTTTCCTGGACAGTCTGTATATTGTCTATGTCTATATCTATATTCAAAATGACTAAATTATACTGCGTAAATATACCACTTGTCTAATAAGAGTTTTTGAATTTTGAAATGCTTATATTAAAACAACTTCATGTTCAGTGAAATTCTAAATTTATTTTTTTTTGGCTTAAAAGCGTCTTTAATTATGTCTTTACATCAATATATATATAATAAATATTTACTTTACAACAAAAAAATCCGAAATGGTTACAAATTACAATCATATCTATACAGTATCGCGTTAGTAGCCATGGCACTAACAATTATACACACAACGTATATAGTCTATAAAATGAATAACTTTGAATTTTGACCGTTATTTTTTACCAACATGGCAAATATAAAATCCCTCTGTCAAAAAAGTGACTGATATTCTTTAAATTGAGTGCCTGAACGAATCAGATAGGTAACTCTTTTTACTTTCGTGAAATAGAAAAGGAAAATAATAAAACAAGTGACATCGCGGTGATTAACCCCTCTCCTAAACATTACTGGCTTAACAATTCTAGTAACATAACAACTACAACAATTCTCGTAAAATAAAACACTAAATCACCACAATACACCAAAACACTTTTAGTCACCTTAAAATCACCAGCATCAGCAGATGATTAAGACTCAAAAATTGAGCGACAGTCTTAATCATCTGCTGATCATGCTAACATGGTTAGCGAAACGCGAGTTCAGTGTAAAAGTAAAAGTGTTTTGGTGTATTGTGGTGATTTAGTGTTTTATTTTGCTGTGTAACACCAAAGGTTCCAACACCCAACTGTAATAAATTCTAGTAGCCGTGGCAACACTACGACGTGCATTCGTTAAATATTTTGATAAAGAGCACGACATCTTTTATTGAGTTTCCTATGTTATATTTGTAGTGTATTTATGCACTATTAGCCTAATGTATGGTAATCCAAACAATTCCCTAATTTGGACACACGGATTTAGAGCTCGAACACACTGACGACCAGGTCGCACCGGCCAGGCCGCTGCTACCTCTAAAACCATTAAATCAAATGATACAGCGCACACTAACTTCCTGGCCGTCGACGTCGGCTGGTCGTTGCGACCAGTAGACTGCACTAAAATATTATTTTCTGCAGCTTGTTGCAGGTTTTCTTCCAAATTAATAATTTTTCAGATAAAATCCCTCAAATTCAACGCACAATATTTTATTTTCTATAAGAAATAGTGTTTTAGTGTAGTTTTTACACACGTGCAGAAAATCCAAAGAAATAGTATACAGACTGGACCAAAGGTAAACTTAAATCTAGTCCCTTTTTTATCAAGCGTCGATTCTAGTAAAAATTCAAAACATTTTTATATGACATACTCTATTTATGGTTGGTATGATACCTGTTTACCTTCGAGTTTCGATGTTAAAAAATAAAAAAATCATATTTTAAAGTTTTTCTACACCCACTTGTTTTTTATTAAATGTTCGGCTTATTTGTTCTACTTGTTGTAAAAATCGTTAGATCTGACAACTCTGTTGAAACTGGTCGTTCATCTGGCCGCAGCTATGTACGCAATACATCCGCACAGCCGACTGACGGCCAGGTCGTTGCGACCTGGTCGTCCGTGAGTTCGAGCTTTTAATTGTCCAAATTAAAGAAGTTGTACTGTATATAAATAAGTTGCACAAACCTATTAACTGCTACCATTGATGCCTCTCTCGTTAAAGAGAGTAAATCCGCGCCCACATAGCCTGGTGTAAATTTGGCGATTTTTTGATAATCAAAGTCGTCGGACAGTGTCAAATATGTGGTGAGTACCTAATAAAGATATATAAACATTATTATAATTCGCTATTTTTCAATGGTACCCTCGCTATTTTTTTTTACTTTATTTTGACAGAGAATTATATTTTGAATAAAATGATATGTTATGACATATGTCAACTTTTGACAGTTTCAGATAAAAAAAAGTATTTTAAGTTTCAACTTAAGGTGTCAATCAATCCTGATTTATGTCCTATATTAACATACCCAATATCGTTTTTTATCTGAACAAAGAAAAAAGTTATAGGGATTGAACACTTTTGAAATACTCCCGGTATAATACTTATGCTGTCTTTTATTCCCAAAAATACCAATTTGTAATATGAAACTTTAAACTTGAAAAAGTGGGTACTTATATTATGGCATATTAAAGAAAATATTTCTAACCTTTAGAATCTGTTCTCTAGCCTTCTCATTGGGAATTCCTAAACATATTTCCCTGTCAAATCGTCCGGCTCTGCGCAAAGCTGGATCAATGGAATCGGGTCTATTAGTGGCGCCTATTACCAACACCCTATCTCCATTTTCATTTACACTCAGATCTATATAATAAAATAACAAAGTTTTTTTAGAGAAAATTTTTACTAAAACCTTACAAATTATACCATCTAAACAGCTCAGTAACTGAGCTACAATCCTTCTTTCCATTTCTTTCTGCGCATTTTGTCTGTTAGGCGTGATGGCATCAATTTCATCGATAAACAAAATACAAGGAGCTGAACTGCAGGCTCTTTCAAACAGTTCCCGAATTCTTTCTTCGCTCTCACCGGAGACACCTGCAACTAGTTCAGGAGCGGCCACTTTAATCAACTGTACCCCTAACTCCTGAAAATAGGTACCAGAAAAAACTAGAGTATGATCGAAAAAAAGAAACGCTTGGAAATGGACATCGAGATAAATTTTCGCCGAATAAATTTGAACTCTGAGCGCCGTGTTTTTTCAATCGTATAGTGTATACAGATAGAGGGTGATTCTTTAACTCGAAATGAACTCAGTAAGTCAAGAAATTCTTCGGTAATATGTTCGGACACGTCTTTGAAGAAAAAGATTAAGGAAGGAGCATATCAAAAAACATAGATCGAGCGCGATGGAGACAAAAAATGGCCGACTTAAATTCCGGTTTATCAGTGCCGTTCTAATTTTATTCAAAACGTGTAATATGATGTAGGATAGACTAGAATAATTTGTTGTTTTATTTTACGTTGTCAATAAATGTTGGTAGTTACTAAAATTGTTATAAAAATATATAATTCTAATAAAAATAAATAAGTTATAATAATTATTTATTTAACAGATACATCCGATACGCTACTAAAGCAGGTAAGTCAAATTGATGTATATCTAAATTTTTTGACATCTAATTTATGACAAGTAATAAATAAAAGCAAGAATGCAAGAAAAAATATATATATAATTAATAATAGAAAAACTATATAAATTAATAAATATAGTTAATTTTAAGTGAATTTTATAAATGGTCGGTTTACTGCACGTATTTATATTATATAGACACTTGCTAGTGAAAAGTTATTCCATTATTTACCTCGATTTTTGACCGAGATCTACCACACGCTACACAACCATTTTACAGTCTTTTTCGATAAATCGCAATAGTGTCACTGTTAAGTTCTGACACAAAAAAATCCTTCTAAATTTACTACCTCTAAACAACTACCAGTTATAGAATTAATAATAAATAACATAAAATAAGCTCAGTAAAGACTAATAAATCCAGAAAATTTCAAATCAAATTCAAATGTGTCAAATGAATCCGTCAAACAGAACTGTCAAGGATCCCCTAGTAATACATAGATGACATTATAAGGGTTGTGCCACTTGAAAATTTCAAATGAAATTTTCATGTCGGCAACTTTTCCAATGTGAAATTTTCACTATTTTAAAAAAGTGAAATTTCATTGAAATATCAAGTGAAAGTATCAATTCGAATTTTTCAGCATAGAGGTAAAATTTTCAGGAATGTATCGTGAAATTTCAACTCACAGGTGAAATTTCAAGTGTAATTTTCATAAACCTCGCGAACTCCTTTATCGTGTTCGTATGTTACCGTATCGACGTAGGTATCGATCGTTGATTTGCTCGATTTGGTTGCGCGTCTGTAGAAGACCGGCACTTGATCTTGACAAATGAAAACCGCAGTAGATAGATAGAGGTTATGATTTTCGTTGAAAATGTTGATGTATCATTAGATTTGTTATTTTTGTGCATTTTTTGTGTTTCAGATTTCATAAAGTCTATTCTGAGGCCTGTTTACCTGTGACCTGTGTTCTGTGTTGATTGCAATTTTTAAAGAAATAATACCAAAAAGGTTAAGTGCATATTTTGTAATGAAATTCATTACAAATGCAACTCGTTTAGAAAAACATGTAAAAAATTGTATAAAAACGCCGAGATCCATTAAATTACAACTAAAAGGGACTACCTCGGGAACAGCTAAAAATAATGACGTGTTTCACCATACACCCATTATATTCACCACCTCATTTATATGATTTTTTTTCAAAATTTCATAATTTTCATGAAATTTCAGTGAAATTTCCAAGGTGAAATATTTAATTGTCAATATTTCAGGAAATTTATGAAATTTTCCCTAAAAATTTGAAATTTTGAAATTTCCAAAATTTCAATCTTTCAGTGAAAATTTCATTATGAAATTCCAACATAAGGTGAAAAATGAAATTTACCCATCCCTAGGCATTATACTCATATACCTCATACCCTATACTACGGGACACGTTAAGTATTTTAAATTGCGCATTATACATGTTTCAAATTGGAGATATGACATAAATGGTTTTTCATATGTATTTCTTGGTTAAAACTGAGTTATGTTCATAGAGTATGTACAGGGTGTCCCACTAAGAATAGCTCTCGGCTATATCTCGGAAAGTATTAGCCGAAGGGCCTGCGGAAAAAAATATTCATAACTAAAGAGGCCATGAGAAATTGCTGGAAATTATTTTCAAGTTTGTAGAATAGCCGCTAGAGGACGCAACTGCTATAAAAATAAGAAAATGGAGTTTTTACACCATTTTGCCTAGATAAGGGGTACTATAAATAATAGCTTCATAATCTTCAGTAAATTCTGAATATTTTTTCTTAAAACCATTTTCCCCTATCTGCCAAAATAAAGTGGTGGGGGAAGGTTAGATCTGTTTTTATTTAAATATTAATAACTACGGACTGGATGGATGGAATTTAAGAAGCGGGGGCACGTTTAAAAGAGCGTTTCTTATTGTATCTTATACCATATAAACAATAATGATATGCTTTTGAACGTAGACGTTAGGGGGCGCTGTCTTACAATTTAACAAACATTGCGTGTTATTTCAAAAAAATCAAATGCGATGGTATATGTAATTTTAGCTGATAGTAAAGAGTAATAAAAGCTTAAAAAATCAGTGAAAACTGCATTTTGATATCTTTTTTCAAACCAAAGTTATTTGCAAAATTATAATAGAAACGAAAAAATAAGCCCATAATTACCTTATTTCTCTAACACGATATCACTAGCCCTCTTGACTATGATCATTCTAATAAAAAATAAGATAAAAAAGATTATTTTATTCAAAAATTCGATAATATACCAGAATACCATAATAATGTAAACGCCACGAATGTTTGGGAGTGATTCATCGCTTGATGAAGATAGAATCGACACGCGCGCTATCATTTTTACATTAAAAACGTAAATTTTTACCGTAGACGTATGTTTTTAAAGGCCCGGCCTAATCATCTCCATGCGCTCCTCCTACTTATTCTAAAATGTTAGCGTGATTAACAAAGACGATACTATATCGCGTTTCTTTGATTGATTCGTTTTTGTGCGTCAGTCCATTGGTGTGCTTGCAGTGCGACCAATGGGGCATTCCATTTTATATTTATAACCAAATATTTGTTTTGACAAGACTTTGACAGTTAAAACAACAACAGATTATATATTGATTGTTATATGACTTGAAACACCACGGCACTGGAATTAAGTTTTATGTGACCTTGAACAGATTAGTTCACATGGTAGCGACCGATGAATCACCCCCAAACATTCGTGGCGTTTACTATACTAGGTGTGTTAATATCTAATAACTAAGATATCAATGACGGTGAACAAGAAACGACGCCTCAGTGAATTCATGGTAGGGTTTGGAAAAAAGTTGCTTTTAAATGGATAGTTTAAACATCAAAACATTATTATATCAACATTTTGATAGTCCCAGCAGAGTTTTTTTATCTTTTGATTGCTTTTCTAAAAATGCCTTTCTTCAAAAAAAACGCCGCTAAGACTATCAAAATGTTGATCTAATAACAATTTGACGTTTATACCATTACGTCAAAAGCAACTTTTTTCCAAAGCCTACCATAACTTCACTGAGGCGCTGTTATTAACATCTTAATTATTAGATATTAATACGTCTGGTATTATTGTATTCTGGTATATCGTCGATTTTAAATAATTTAATCGTTTCTATCTTATTTTATTAGAATGGGCATAATCAAGAGGGCTACTGATACCGTTTTATAGAAATATGGTAATTAAGGGCTTATATTTTCCTATTTAATATAATTTTGCTAATATCTTCGGTTTGAAAGAATATATCAAGATGCGGTTTTCACTGGCTTTTAAGCTTTCATTACTTTACTATCAACTAAAATTAAATATACCATCCCATTTAATTTTTTTGAAAAAACGCACAATGTTTGTTAAATTGTAAGACAGCGCGCCCTATCGTCTACGTTGAACAGCTTATTATTATAATTTTTATGGCATAATATAGAGTAAGGAACGCTCTTTTAAACGAGCCCTAGTTTGTTGAATTCTGATCATCCAGTTCGCAGTTATTAACATTTAAATAAAAACAGATCTTTTACTTATAACTTTATTTTGGCTGATAGGGGAAAATGGTTTTAACAAAAAATATTCAAAATTTACTGAAGATTATGAAGCTGTTATTTATAGTACCCGTTATCTAAGCAAAATTGTGTAAAAACTTCTTTTTCTAGGAGTTGCGCCCTCTAGCGGCCGTTTTACAAACTTGAAAATAATTTCCAGCAATTTCTCATAGCCTCTTTTGCTATAAATATTTTTTTCCGCATGCCTTACGGCTAATACTTTCCGAGATACAGCCGAGAGCTATTCTTAGTGGGACACCCTGTAGTTACGAGAATTAATCCTAACCTTTACCCTATGAAATTAATGTACCCTATGCAATTAACGTTTAGAACTTAAGAAAATGCCGTTCATAATTCTACTTGTTTTAAGAATATTCTAGTAATATGTTTGAGTTAACCAATTAGAATATATCAAATGTCAAATACATAAACACAAAAATTGAACAATATCAAAGAGTAGATAAGACAAGAGACGACAGTTCGCGCGGTACCTTTCATGTTTGAGTGGTGGGGAGAGTGACTTCGTCTCGCTTGTCCCTTTAAATTTTCGTAATTTTTTCGCGGGAAATTTGAAATAGACTATTATTAAAACTTGCTTGTATACCTTATAAATAGTTAGGTACTGTATGGGTAAAGAAATAAATAGAAACGAAAAAAAGTGAGTTTTCTAAATATTATATAAAATAAATTATAATTAGAAACATATTTGTCGGGGAATAAAGATAATAAAAGCAATATTTTGTATATCGTTGGTAAACAAGATAAAGTGACCAAGTCGATTTGTAAGAAATGTTTTATTTACGTGTATTTTTTTTTACATATGGACTTGAACAAGTGTAAAATCACAATGTGGAGGTTATGTACAAAAAAACAGAGTTGCTCAATTTTTTTTTAAATATATTACAAGCTTCTAACCATGTCTTCGATCTATGGATTACATTTAGTTTAATAACATAATTATATAGTATATTTCTATAAAAATACTTTTCAGGATCCTTTGGAAAAGAGTGAAATATTATGTTTGTCGAAGAATAAGACCTACTTTTGTAGTCTTTATAAGCACACACATTGCCACCATCTCGTTTTTTCCTGCTACTCGTGTCCTGTTCAGTATTCATATTTAACAATATTTACAAATTAGTACGCAACAAAAACGATACTAAAATTAAACCTTAAAAACTCTCAAAACGATAATATATCGAAAAACTCTGAAAACACACTTTAAAAAGGCAAAAATTCAAGAAAACGACTAATCAGATTTGTTTATGTTTAAGCCTGATTAGCTCAGCTGATTAGCGTCCTAAAATCATAGGTTAGATTAGATAAAATACGCCGTTGTCAGATTTTGAAATTTTATCTGTTTATCTTTGAAATCGATCAACTTATAAGTCATTCTGTTTCTTTGATATTATCAGTACATTGCGAAAAAAGAACCTAAATCAACCTAAACTAAAAATTTACATTTCCGTATTAACATACGTTACTTATATCCTTCTTATATTATTAATTTATTTTCAGAAAATCTTGTTTATTTTTCAAAGAAATATACTTGGCAACAGAGACAAAATGGGACTTGATGGGACCTTTAAATTTTAATATATCTGCGTCTCTCTCGCGAAATTCGACTTCTTTGTTCACTGTCGTCTCTTGTCTTATCTACTCTTTGACAATATAGTCTAAATGACTGGTTAAATTTTATTTTTATTTTGCATAGATCATATAGTTTTATTTTTAGCATTTTCTATCTTGTGCATATTTGCATGAAAATTCTAGTATAAAATATTATTAACATACCCCTGCAATTGCATTGGCCAACAGAGTTTTACCACAACCTGGAGGACCATGGAGTAGAAATCCTCTTGGTGGTGAAATACCAATTTTTCTATACAACTCTGGATGTCTATTAAAAACAAACCATGTTTTAGTCTGAACAAGATTAAATGTAATTAACTTTACCTGATATGTAACAACAATTTGCAAACATCTTCTAGTACCTTGTCCATGCCGCCAATATTTTTAAAAGTGAAAGCAGGTTCTACCATATTTTCTCCTCGAATTTTTTTCTTTTTTGACATAGTAGATATGTCTTTAATGGGTGATATAGTCGCTTCGAGTTTACGTTTCTTTGGACGCTCCTGGGGCTCTGTTTCAGTCCGACGCTTATCATATAACTACAAATAATATAATACGTATACCGGGTGTTTCAAAAAACATGTCCTCTCTCGGAGAGCTTTCTCACGTAAAAATAAACCATTCAAATGAAATTTTTAGAGTAAATATGTTTTAGAGTAAACATGTTACTATAAGTGCGACATATTTTAAGAAGTGTCGACATATTCACCAGGAACGTGCATATTCTTCCAAAAAAAAAACATGTGCGCTACTGACTTTTTAGGGTTTCGTATCCAAAGGGTAAAAACGGGAACCCTATTACTAAAACTTCGCTGTCCGTCCGTCAGTCCGTCTGTCACAAAGGTCTATCTTATGAACCGTTATAGCTAGACAGTTGAAATTTTTACAGATAATGTATCTATGTTGCCGCTATAAGAACAAATACTAAAAGCAGAATTAAATAAATGTTTATAAATAAAAAAGTACTTTCACTAAACATTATTTTCTAAGTATGAATTTTACATAGAATCTTTCAAGTCCTTGGTGGCCGCGTGGTTTAAAGCGTTAGGACTTTACGCTGCTATGACGTTGGAGCCGTAGTAAGGCAGGTTCGAATCCTAGTCAAGGCTACTTTTTTGAATCGCTTTTTTTTATTTTTACGTATTTTTACATATTTATTTTTACTTTTTACATATTTATTACTGATTAATACAACTTTTAGTAATGTGTTTTTTAATTTATTTTTAAATTACTTGTACGCGCATTCAAAATTTCAGCTAAATCGGAAAAAAGTTTATATAATATAGTGTCTAATGTTGTATAGATAATGAATGGTATGGAACCCTTCGTGCGCGAGTCCGACTCGCACTTGACCAATTTTTTTTTAAATTATTTATACGCGCATTCAAAATTTCAGCTAAATCGGAAAAAAAGTTTATAATAATATAGTGTCTAATGTTGTATAGATAATGAATGGTACGGAACCCTTCGTGCGCGAGTCCGACTCGCACTTGACAAATTTTTTCTGAATGTCAGTGTTATAAACTAAAAAAAAAGTTAATAATAAAGTAGATAAAATAATTTATTAGTTGTATTTTTATTGTGATTATTATAATTGCATTTATCTCATCAAAGAGATCAAAATCGACAAAATATCGAGAGACAACTTTCAATCGGCATCAAAGCGTCTACACAATGTTTGCAAAGAGAAAAAAAGCAAGTGACGCACATTTTGCTTAAAATATTCCAGTGGTAAGCCATATGGACATCCCTGGTGAACATGTCAACACTTTTTTAGCATTAAAGTATGTCACACTTATAGTAACTGTTACCCGTAAAATTTTTTATTCAAATCGCTAAAAGCATTTGAAAAAAAATTATAATAAAAAAAAACAACCCCCCATAGTTACGAAACAAAGCAGAGTTGCACCTACATATGTTAACATAAAAAATAAATCACATATTTTTACGTGAGGGATCTCCGCACGAGAGATGACACGTACACTGTAGAAAAAAAATATAACACTGCATTAAATTACTAACAGTCTGATTGGAAAGAAATCCTGGAACTATAACTGTCCTATTAGGTTGTGCAGAAGTAGAGGCCCCATTTGTTTTGCTGCCGTAATTGTTGTAAGCTGCTTCTTCTTCAGAATCTTCGCTACTAATATCGATTAGTTCATTTTCATCAAGTTTTGGTTTAACAGCAGCAGGACGTTGGTACATCTCTGCCAGTTGATTATTCATAGAGTCATTAGCCTAAACAAAACTTATTATAAACCCCAATTACCCTTAACGCATATAAAAACCATAAACCATAGGCAACAACTAGTGTTGTAATATGCTCAAGATTATTTTTGAAGTATGTTACCTGAGGATGAACGACAATAATCAAGATTAAAGGTAGTGTTGAAAATCTATCAGTTACTTTTTAGAAAGAAATACTGAATTTTCTCATTTTTTTCCCATTCTCCTCAAAAAAAATGAAAATTTGGAAAACATTTAGAACAAATAGATAAAAATAAATGAGAACAAATACAATTCAAACACATTACCCTTCTTTGAGGGCATATTTAAATTGCAGAGCAATTATCAACACTACATACTTCAATTTGCAAATTAAAATGATAAAACTGTAGCTAAATCTATACATGGTCCGGCAATAGTGCTTCGGGTATCTGTAGCTTCTAGAACAACAAAAATTGAGAATTTTGTTTAAGTGCAAACCTAAAGTATGCATTAGGATATAGGTATTTCAGGAAAATATTTTAACTTCAAAAAAGTATAAGTGTATCTCTGAAATTATCAAAAGATATTTACTCATATCTTAGAATTATGTAAAGTGATCTA